AGCCTCAGCTCCGACCGCGGCGCCCGCCCGGCGGTTCAGCGCCTGCTCCAGGGGTGAGCTGAGCTGCCACCCCCCTCCCAGGCCCCGCCCTCCCGGGAGCAGGACCAGCAGCGAATTGTGGGGGGCGCATCCGGAAAGTGAGGGGCCCTCGGGGGTCCTGGGGACGGAGCCAGGGAAGGCTAAGGCTCCTCCTGGCCAGCGGATGCCCGACCGGCAGCTGCTCGCTGGGCGGGCAGTGGGCAGGCTCAGGTCACACCCAGTGCCAGTGTCTGCCCAGCACAGCCCCAGGCAGAGCCCTCCCGGCACCCAGGCCTCAGAGGCCACCTGCCATGCTGGGCTCCCGGCTGAGGCTGCGGGCGGCCCGGGGCTCAGCAGCCTTCTCCGTGGAGGGGGCCCCGTACGCGCGGCCACCGGTGCAGAGGGCCGGGTGAGGAAGGCTGCCTCCAGGCACGGCCCCTCCCGGCACCCCCATCCCACCGGCAGCCGCTTGCCTGCCTCCCGGGCCAGAGAGCTCACCACCTCCGTTCCGGCCGGGGCTCCCCGGTCGGCAGGACGGGAGGGGCCTCGCCAGGGGAGAGTCCGGTGATGGAGACAGGGAAGACGGAGAAGGGAAGAGCGAGCACACCTGTGCCCACCCCCACCCGCCGGCGGCCGAGGGAGGCCCAGCCCGCGCCCGGCGAGGAGGACAAACGGAGGTTTTGTCCTTGGCCCGCGGGCGGCCGCGCCACACAATGACCCTTTCATCGGCCGAGGCAGCCCTGGGCCGGGGTTTCATCTGACAAGGGAGGGCGCCCGGCCTGTCCCCTTACCGCCGGGGGGGGGGGGGGGGGGGGGGGCGAGGGGGAGCCCTGTGCAAGCCGGACCGGGGCCATGGAGAACGGAGGCCCCGGAGCCGGCCAAAGCCCCTCCCACTCCCCTGCTCCTCCCGGGAGGGGCGGAGGGCCGAGGGCCTGCCACAGGCTGGCTCTGGGCTCCCCATCCTGAGCGCCATCTCCTCCCCTCCCCTCCGCTGCCACGCCCTCCACCCAGAGCACGGCCGGTCCCCAGCTGCGGCTCTGGGCTCCCCACGGGCTGCTGAGGCTGGGGACAGGGTGGGTGCAGGGGTGGGCGGGACTTGCCAGGCCTATGTCCCCGGGGAGCCCAGGGCAGAAACCCTGTGCCCACGGGGCCCCACACAGCGCCTCCCTCGCCAGTGACCGGTGACGCCTCCTCCAGCACCTCCGCCGGCTGCCAGGCTTCCCCGGAGGCCCCAGACCCCGCGCTCCTCTCTCTGCCGGACTCAAAAGGGGACACTTCCTCACGGGCTGCTCCCCTGGGCGACCTGCTGGACTCAGGCACACAGTCTGACGCCCTCGGCCAGGCGCTGCGAGGCGCCCACGAGACACCACGTATTGTGGTTCCTCCTAAGGGTCTCGCTCACGGTCCTGTGTAGTCTGGGCAGCTCCTGCCCATCTTTCCAAACCCCGTCTCGGTGTCACCTCCTCCAGGAAGCCCTCTGAGAGCTCACCACTCTCCTCTGAACACACTCCTTGGAGCTGGGGCTGAGCCCACTTCCGAGCGCTTACCGTGCGTGTGCAATGCCGCCGAGCACATCCCTGCGCGGGCTGGCTGGACGCTCACACCCATGCCAGGAGGTGAGTCCCCACAGTCCCCTTGTGTGGAGGACACCCAGGCGGGACACGGAGGCATGGGGACAGGGTCTGGATTGCCACCTGGGCCCTCGGCCTCGTAAGGTCTCACGGGAAACCCGACTGGAGAGGGGGCCGCGGCCTCGGCACCGCCAGAGCCCAGTGCGGCCCCAGGAAGCCTCAAGGAGCCCTCCGCACACCCAGAGGTCAAAGGGCGTCCTCCCAGAACACACTGTGCCCCCAAACACACTGCGCCCCCCAAACACACTGCACCCCCTAACTAGCGCAGGATGAGTCTCACCGTGACTTGTTGGGTTCTCTGATGGGCACCCTGAGCTGGGGTCCCGGTGGGGTGAGATGCTGTCAGCTCCCCGCCCACTCTCCCAGCTGCTCCCACTCTCCGAGCCGCGGGCACGGGCCTGCCCTGTGTGTGCAAAGGAGGCCTCTCCCTTCCCGGCGGCCGACGGAGGCTGAGGCCCAGAGAGGCCCTTGGCCCGGCCAAGGCCACACAGCACAGCGCCTCCTGCCCCCTCCCCACAGGCCAGTCAACAGGGCGACCTGTCCACGCCCCCGCCGTGGCCCCGCCCTGCCCCCACACGGTGCCGCGGAGGGGACCTGATCCCCCCCCCGGTCATGCCCACAGGGCTTCTGGGCTGCGGTGGGCACCACCATAAGCCACAGCAGCCGAGCCAGGAAGAGACCAGCCGGGCTGGGCAGTGGTGAGCGCCCCCAGCCCGCACAGCCAGGTGGTCGGTGAGTAACCGCCCTGTCACTCATGACTCACCCGGCTCCACGGAGCAGGCGGTCACCACGAGGCGGCTCCCGGAAGACCGGGGGATCGCCCAGCCAACCCCCACATCGGGGAGAGGGCAGCCGGGCCGGAAGGACCTGCCAGCACAGAGTCAGCTCAGCCCTGGCACCAGGCCCCCGCCAGGCCCCCAGACCAGCTGACCTGGCACCGCCGCGGGCTCTTGGCCTGGGGCCCCCCACCTGCCTCCCCGGCCCTCGCTGACCCGCCAGCCCAGAGCTTCTGCTGCCCGCGGAGGGGAGGGGAGGGGAGGGCGTGGCGGGCCCAGCTCAGCACCAGGCACGGGGGCGGGGCGGGGGTCAGGGCCCTTCCAGGCCAGCACACCCGTCGGACCCAATCAGCGCAGGGCCCAGGCGTGCATCTGGGATTCGCTGAGCACCGACCACAGCCCGGGACAGGGAGCTGGGACAGCAGCCAGAGGGAGGGCAGGATCAGCTGTCCGCCACTGTGCGACCCCAGCCATGGGACGCCTTCTGGAAAGTTCTCTGGGGAAGAAAGAAGCCTGTGCCCGAGGCCCCTCCTGCCTGGGGCATTCTCAGATCCCGAGGGGCCCAGCTTCCCAACGGTCCCTTGAGCCCAGTTCTCCGGGCACGTTGGAGCTGGAGGCTCACCTGCCCGCGGGCACCAGCTCAGCCTGGTCTCTCACCACTGCACTGCCCTGCTCCCGCCCATGGCACCATCGCATACACCAGGCCGTGCCACCCACACGGGCCGGGGTGCCCAGAGATGCTCCAGCCGCCCCCTCCCCCCTGTCCTGGGAACATCTGAGTTCCTCTGCCCGGGAAAGGCAGGCTCAGCACTCCCCCCCCCCCCCCCGGCCTGGGCTGCAGCTCCGGCTGGCAGGCGGCTGGGCCCGGCTGCTGGAGGCAGGGCAGGGGGCAGTGCCCGCTCCAGACCCCAGTGCCAGCCCAGGAACACTGTAGGAGAATTCCGCCAACCAAGCGGGCAGCACGCACGGTGGAGAGAGCCCATGTGGGCACAGAGGGTGGCCACGGCGGACCCAGATTTGGGGGCCAAACCCCAAGGAAAGCCTGGGGTCTGCGGAGGCCGACTGGCCACCACCTGCCCCACAGCCCTCTGCTGCGGCCCTGCCCCCCGGCTGGGAGCCCCTGGCCCACCTCCTGCCTCAGAGCTCACTGCCCCCCCCAGGAGCCAGGGCAGAGCGGCTCTCAGGCAGCGGCTGTGGGTCCTGAGGCTGAGGTGCGGGGCCCTGGGGAGGGGGCTGCTGTCCGCCACCCCTGGACCTCTGAGCCCCTGAGGCTGGGGTCCAGGGCCCGCTGAGCTGGTCCGTGTCCCGGGAGCCGCCGGCAGCAGGACCCTCAGGCGGTCCCGCCCGCCCCGCGCCTGCCGGCCGCCCGCTCCCCGCCCCGGCGAAGCCTCTGCAGCGGCTGCTCTCCGCGCCCGGACCTTGTAATTATGTCCCACAGCCCGGCAGACCACGGCCTCGCAGCATCTGGCTGTGGTTGCGAACTTTTGTTTCAAGATGCGCGACTATTTATAGCAGGAAAACTGGTAGGATAGTAATTTCCTAGGGGCTGGAGGAGGAATTGGCTGCGTCGCTATTAAAAGGGGGTGGGGGCGGCCGTTTATTAGAACCGCGGCCGGCCGCTGGGGGAGGGGAGCGCAGGGCGGGAAGGCCGCGGTAGGCGACCCCGGACGTGGCCCGCGTGTAAAGGAGGGGGCGGGGGAGGGGAGGGGAGGGGAGGGAGGGAGGAGGGGGAGAGGAAGGAGGGCGGGCGGGAGCCGCGCGCTGGCTCTGAGGTTTAATCAGTAGCATCCAGCTTAAATTCCCCCAAACGGCGGTTCCATAAATCAAACTTCTTTTCAAATCGGAGGCCAGAGCATATGCATCCCATTAGGAACCCAGCGGAGCCACCACCGCAGTGCCAACGTGCCCCTCGGCTCCCCGGCCGGCCTGCCCTGCCCGAACTGCCCGGGCCGGAGCCTGCCCACCCGCTGTCCCCGCGCCCACGCTCTGCGCAGCTGCCCCGGCCGGACCCGGGCTCCCCTCGGCGGGAGCTGCACACGCCCACTCCGCTCCCCTCAACCCCAGGTGCAGGGTGGGCAGGGATGGGTCGCCAGCCGGGAAGGAGAAGCCGCAGACTCCGGGCACCGGGCACCGTGGGGCTCTCTGCCTGCGGGGAGGGTGTGCACGTGTGCGCCCATGACCCGCCGAGAAGTAGGTGTGAGCTGGGATGCTCTCCAATGTGGCACCCAGTGAGGGCCCCATGGGTGTCTGTGGGGAGGGGGACAGCTGGTCCAGGGCCGGCTGGGGGTGCAGGGCAGCTCTGCCCGCCTGGATCCCTCCGGCCCTGGGCGGTGCCTGCAGCCTGGCCTCTGGCCTCTGGAAGCCACCTTTCCTCCCACCGACCCGAAGCCACGATCTCTGCCTGGCCAAGCTCCCTCCCCGCCCTGGCCTCCACCTCGGGGCTCAGGCCGGCCAGGCCCCCCAAAGCACCCCTACTTTGGCGCATGCCGGGCACCGGTGCCTCCCCGGGCTCCCCGCTCCCTCCCTGGGGCTTGGCACTGGGGGACCCGCCGGGGGGAAGAGAGGGGGCACTCACAGGTAGCTGCCGCTGGACAGGAGCAGCAGGACCTGCGGGCAGTACGCGGAGAGCAGCGCGCGGCGCGGCGACAGCAGCAGCATGGTGGGCCGGCCGCGGCGGGCTGGGCCGGCCCCGCGGGCAGGGCGCCTGGGCCGGGGGCGGCGGGCTCGGCCCTCCCCGCGGTGGGGCGGCGGCGGGCGCTAGGGTCCCCGGCGAGCGGGTCCCTGCGCGGTGGTGGCCGGAGCCCCGCCGCCAGGGCTGCGCATGGCCCGGGGCGGCGCGGGGCGGGTGGGGCCGCAGGGGGTGCGGGAGCCTCAGCCGCCGACCGGCCCTCCGTCCGTCCGTGGGTCGGTCGGAACCGGCTCTGTCACTCGCGCGGCCTCACGTCTCCGAGCCTCCCGAGGCCCGGCTGCCATTGGCCGCGCCTCCCGCGGGCGGTGTTAAAGGGGAGGCTGACCGCGCGGGAGCCGCCCCCGGGCCGGCCCGGCCCGCCCTGGCCCGGACCCCGTCCCGCAACCGGGCGCCGCGGGCGCTGGCGGCCGGAGGGCGCACCTGGGGGAGCCGGGCGGCCCGGGGCGGGCCCGGGGGCGGCTCCGGGCTGCGGGCGGTGCGTGCGGGGCGTGTGGCTGCCTGCGGCGGGGGCGCAGGTGCGCACAGAGGCGCCGGGCCGCGCGCCCTCCGGGCTGAGCCTGGCGGCGGTCCCGGGAGCCCGGCTGGGGGTCGGCCCGCACGCTCCATTCCCGCCAACCAGGCCCCCGCAGGGCTCACCTGTGCACATGCGCACTGGCCTCTGCAGGGTGGGCCTAGTCTCTTGGGGGAGGATGACAGGGGAGCACACCCAGCAGGTGCACAGAGCCCCCCCTCCCCTCACCCCCCTGCTGTCTCTGAGGGGACGGTGCAGTGAGCGTGAGCGATCCTCCCAGGGATTCCCTTTCAGCCCCAACAGGCCGAGCTCCACCTGCCATTGTCTGCCCAGCCTGGCTGCCCCTGTCTCTGTAAGCTGGGCGAGGGCACCAAGCAGGCAGGTGACCAGGAAGCAGAGGCCTCGGCAGCATGGCGGGGGGGGGGGGGGTCCAGTCCTGCCCTGGCCTCGCCCTCCGCGGAGACCACCCCACACCCGGAGGGGGCCTGCCCCTCCTCTCCATTCTTTGGGGTCCAGGGCGCTCAGGCCCCTTTGCCTCTCCGGCCCCAAGGCCAGGAGGCGGCCTGGAGCAGGGCTGGGCTTGGGACTCCACGGCCCTGTCCTGGGGACAGAGGGGACCCAGACCGCGGGGGATCCCCGGGCCTCTTTGGGGCTGGATCTCCACGCTGCTCAGTGCCCCGCTGAGAAACAGGGACTCCCCAACACCGATGCTTTAGAATTGTGCAAACCCAAGGCACATCTGGCCTGGGGACCCCCATCCCAAGGGATTAAGGACCTAGTTCTCCGTTTCTGCTGGCCGGGACCCCTCCCAGGGGCTGAGACCTCACTGGCTGAGGGCCATGGGGGCGGGGGTGTCTGTGTGTGCAGTGTGGGCAGGCAGGCTGTGATCATGGAACATTCCAGCACACTCGTACCCCCTCGCACTCGGATTCTGAGGCCCAGGCAAGCTGAGGAGGCACGGGGCCTGCCGCTGGGAGGTCTCCATTAACAATAAGAAAGGCTGGGCCGGTGTGAGGGGACCCCCCCCACCACCAATCCCACACAGAGGCCCCCAGGACCAACCTTCACAGCACCCAGGAAAGGAGGTGACACTGCTACCCCATTTTTAAGATGAGAGCAGGTGGGCTGGGCAGTTATAGAGCTCACCCTAAGCCTCTGGAGAAGGGGTGTGGGGCACTGCCCCCCAACCTCCACCCCAACGCAAGGCCTATTTGCAGAGGGGCCAGGAGAGTCATGGCAGGGGGGCAGGGGCGCAGGAGGCTCGTGGGGGCCGCCCTGGGAGCCCAGGCTGGGCACTGGGGGGGGGGGGGTGCGGGTGCCTCACAGAGCCCTTCCTGGGAGCGGTCTCAGGGCTCCCGTGGGGGAAGGGGTGCTGGGAAGGGTGCCCCTACGAGGCCAGAGTCAGTTGCTCCCGCGGGCCCCTCACTCTCCTGGCCTTCCTAGCTGGGTGTGCGAACCCTTCAGCGCGGAGCGCCAGGGAGGGCGCGGCCTGGTGCTGAGCAGATGCTGCGGGGCCTCCTTGGGGTACCCATTACTTTGGGGGGCACAGAGAGTAACCGCAGGGGCCGCTGGAGAGTCCAGGAAGCGGTCTCCCTCCCCACCGCCCACCCCGCACCCTCAGCAGGCTCCCTGCGAACTGGCACCTCCAAAAACACACGCAGACCCGGGGCAACAGGGCGGCCGGGACAGCGGCTTCCGTCCTCCCGGCCTCAGTCCCCCCCCAACCCCGTGAGGGGCCGGACGGGCCGTGGGCGAGCGCTCTCCTGGGGGGAAGCCGCGTCTCCACCCGGCACCAGCACCGGCACCGGTGGCCGGGCCTCCCTCCGGGGTCGCAGCTTCGCCCCGCGGGGACCGGGCCTCGGCTCCGGTGCGCACAGTAGGCGCGCGGGGCCGGGGAGCGGGGCCGGGGCGCGGGCCGGGCCCCGGGAGTGAGCGCACCGCTCCCCGCCCCCTCCAGCGGGCCGAGCCGGAGGCCGCCCGGGGAGAGCGCAGCCCAACAGGTAGGGACTCGGCGCTTCAGGAATGTGGAAATACGACTCGGAGCCACCGCCGCGCGCGGCCCGCCGGGCGCCCGCCGCCCGCCGCCCCGGGGAGCGGGGAGAGGGCCGCCCGGGCCCGGGGCGGGGGCGCGGAGCCTGACCGGCCCGGCGCCGGACCGGTTGTCAAGGTGATTTCAACACGTCCGTCCGGGTGATGGATAGGGACCGGGGCCTGGCGGGGCACCGGCCTGCGAGCCCCCCCGCCCCGCGCCGGGGCCTCCGAACCCTCCGGCGCGCCCCCGCCCCCCGCCCCGCGCGCCTCCGGGCGGCGAGCGCTCGGCCGGGCTCCGCGCCCAGCGCAGCCGGGGGAGGCAGGGCGGCCCGCCCGGGGCCGGCGCCCGAGCAGGTGAAGCACGCGGGGCGCTCGCCGCTACCCGCCGCTGCCCGCCGCCGCCTCTCCCCGCCCTCGGGCCCGGGCGCCCCTCGCGGGACCCGCGCTCGGGGTCCGGCTGCGCCCCGCGCGGCGTGGGCGGGAGCCAGCGCCCGCGGCCGGAGAGGGAGCCGCGCGCGGCCACGCGGGTCCCAGGTTCCCGGGAGGAGACCCCGAGGCGGCCCGGCCCCGCACTCACCCGAGCTTCACGTAGAGGACGCCGAAGCACAGGAACACGTAGAAGAGCCACTCGCGGGAGTTTCTGTGCATGATCCGGCGCGGGGGGATCCGGCGCGGGGGGATCCGGCGCGGGGGGATCCGGCGCGGGGGGATCCGGCGCGGGGGGATCCGGCGCGGGGGGATCCGGCGGGGGGCTGCGCCATAGACCGCGGCGGCGGCGGGCGCGGGGCGGGGCGGGGGCCGCTCAGCCGGCGCTGCGGCCCCGGCGGCGGGCGAGGCGCGGGCGCGGGGCGCGCGCTGCCACCATGGTGAGCGGGCGCCGCCGCGGGGCCGGGGCGGAGGGGGCCTGGCTGGGCGGAGCGGCCGGAGCCCGGGGCGCCGGGGTCACCGGCCGGCGGAGCGCGGCGGGCGGCGGCGCTGGTGTCCGGGCGCAGCGCCTGGGCCGTGCGCCTCGCCGAGCGCCGCGGCCAATGTGCCCGCACTTGTCGGCTCCCAGGTGACGCGGCCCCGGAGCCGCAGGGAGCGAGCGCCCAGGTAGGACCCGCCTCCCGCCCGCCTCCTCCTCGCCGCTCTCTGCGCGCTCCCTCCCGCTCCGGCCCTCCTCCCTTTCCCCTCCTCCCTCCCCGTGACACAGGCGCACCCACCCTCCCGGCGCCCTCCCCGTGCCGCCGGCCGGGCTGGGGGGTGCGGGGGCGGCTCGGAGGAGACACCTGCGCGGGGCCGCTCCGCCCGCGGGGAGGGTGGGTGGGGCGGATGGACAGTGCGGATCGGGCGGCCACTCAGCCTAGTGTCTGAGGAGGGGGAGGGAGAGACCACCCAGCCATCCCCGGTCTGGCGCTCCCCCTCCTCCCCCCCTCCTCCTCCCCAGCACCGGTCCCGGCCACCCCCTGCGCCCGCAGCCAGGCCCGGGTCCGAGCTCCCGCCCCAGCACCTGTCACACTGCTGCCTCCCGGCGGCGGGAAGGGACGGCGGCCCGGCCAGATCGGGGGCGGGCGCTCAGCCCTTTTCTGAGTTTCCCAGGACCCAGAGTGGAGGACATGGGGCACCTCCGGACTCGGAGGAGACTCCAGGCTTCAGGGCCCTGCCTCCCCTCCCAGCCCTGGCCCCTCTGGTCTTGGGGTCCCCTGTGCTGGCGGGAGGTCAGGCGGGCGGGGGCGTCAGGCACTGCTTGGCGGAAACCCGGGCTGTTGGGGGGGGGGGGGCGGCAGGGACAGCGACCAGGAGCCTAACCTCAGGCCTGGAGGCCCCTCTCCTGCTCCGGGGCGAGTGGATGGAACTGGGGGATCAGTCCCCAGGACCAGCTGGGACCCAGACTCGCCAGGGTGGGATATTGGGGGGCGGAGGGGGGCGTTGCTGCAGTCACCCTGGGTCCCCCCCAGCCGAGCTCAGGACGGGCCTGGAGCTCAGAGCCGCCCGCCCCCTGGGCCCCCGCCGCCCCCGGGCCTGATCCCCTTAATCCTGCAAATCCCTGGACCTTTGCGGTGACCCGGGCGGCCGCTCCGGCCCCTGGACCAGGGCGGGGACGCTGCAGCTGCGCAGAGCCGGCGGGACGCCGTTCCCGGACGCAGGGGAGCTGGAGACAATCGCAGGCGGGGAAACTGAGGCACAGAACTACGTGCAACGGCCATAGCCGCCTCACCCCGTGTCCCCTGAGCTCTGAGACTGGAGGGTCCGGGCCAGGCCCTGGGGGTCCGCAGCCCCAGAGGGTCGGCGGGGAAGGGAGCGGCGGAGGAGCTGGAACCCGCGGGCCGATGCTGCCTCCTGGCGGCCGCTGCGGGCTCAGGCGCGGGCCGCGGGCCGCCCAGGCCTGGGGTCCGGGCCACCCAGCCTTCCGGGCCGGGACGTGCAGGCGGGCGGTGTCCCCACCCT